AAGCAAAGGCAGGCATATCTTTGTGAGTTTGAGGCCAGCCACATCTGAAGAGCAACTTCCAGGACAGAGATACCCTGTTTTCAACCCCCCCCCCAAAAAAAAAGAAAGAAAGGAAAAAAAGAATTTTCTTTAAAATGCAATCATATTTAAGGATTTATAAATGTAATCAAAACAAGGTTCACATAATCAACATAAGATTCACACTGACAACTGGATTAACATTAACTACAGTGACTTGCTTTCTAAATGTATATATAAAATAAATGGCACTGATAACAGGGAGGAAGAGGTTTCTGGAGCCATGATTACTTCTGAATATGACTCACCCTGACAGTTCAATTTACTATTGTGGTAGTCAATTTTTGTTGCATTCTGAGAGAGAATTACATTGTTCCTGAGTGAATTAGCATTGATTACAGTTGTCAAGTCTGTTTAAAAAAATATACTCTATTCTAAAATATCCATAATAATTAACAGTTGCAATAAAACAATAATTTGAAACTATCTATATCCTAAAACTTGCCTCAATCCAATGCCTTTACCACCAATCTCTTGAGAACATGTCTGTCAGTTCAAACTGTCAGTTCAAACTCCTCAACAGGAACATCCCCTGGCATGGAAGTCCTCTGAGGGAGAATCCCTGTCTGTATATCTCTGTAAACCTCCCACTAAATACTTCAGAGGAAAAACACTTAATGTCATTTGTTCTCAGCATGAGGTCACAGAAGAAACAAATAATAATAATAATAATAATAATAATAATAATAATAAAAGAAACCGTTGGTACCATTAGATTTTAAGATAAGTGACTGAGTTCAGATATATTTATTGGTTGATAAATAATACTGATTTGACCCATGGCCAAGCAGAATAGAACCAAGCAGGAAATCAAAAAAAAAAAAAAAAAAAAAAAAAGACATGGAGAGAAAGAAGGCAGAGTCAGGGAGACTCCATGTAGTCACTTGGAAAGTGAGGTAAAAACCATAAAACATGATGGTAAAATATACAATGCTAAAAATGGGTTAATTTATAAGTAGAGCTAGCCAGTAAGAAGCCTGAGCCATCTTCCAAGCAATTATAATTAATATTAAGCCTTATAGTGGTTATTTGGGAACTGGAGGGCAGGATAAGAAAATCTTCCAACTATAATTAACTGAAACTGTTTCACATTATTCCATAAGTTAGTCATGCTATTGGGACAAATTTGCATTTTCAAAAGTGTAGTTGACCTAACCATACTTACTAATTATTTGTGGAAAATATTCACTACCTGAAGAAATGATGGTGTAATGTTTCATTATACACATCATTAATTTTACTTAATAATTTGAAGATGCCTTTCTCTAATGATGTGAATTGTTTGCATACATTTTTAATATCTATTTTGGAGTTCACTGTGGTGATTTGAAAATGCTTTGAATGAAATACTGCTAGTTTTAAATTTAAAATCACTGTATCAATAACATTTTCTAATAGCAAGTTTTATCTACAGATATATCACCCTCATGCCCAATCTCATCTAAATAGTAGCTTTATTCCTTCCCAAAGTTAGAAGTACCTGGTAGTTAATATTTTACATTTTTACTTACTATGTGGCTATATGATTATGTATATCACACCTGGGAGTTTTCATATATTCTTGATCATTCACCCATATCAAATCCTATGTAAATTTTTGGGTATACATCCATCTATAAATGAATATGTTGCTAATTTATTCAAAAATCATTATTAAAAAGAATAAAAGAGTTACTGTTGTGCCTTGTAAAACTTGAGGGTATATAATTTACAAGAATGTAATAGATACTTTACTCTTTTGTTATTGGTTCCCACTTTGTTGATTGGATTTCATTATTTTGGAATGAGTCTATTTTGACAAGAAAATATCAGGAATATGGGTTCTTTCAATAACATTAAAATCAGTGTGTACATATGCATACTATTTGTAAAAACAATAATTACAATAGGTTGTACAGCATCACAGACATTTGAAATCAACACATATAAATTAGATGGAACTACATCAATACCATGTCATTGATGATTTTTACAGACATTAATAGACTTGTATGTACTCAAATGGCCCTAGTTAATTTTCTCATGATATGGCCAAATACTTGACAATAAACTTAAAGGACCAAATGGTTATTTTGACTCATGGTTCAAGGGACATGGTTCACTATGGCTTAGAAAGAAAGATGGCAAATACAGTGAGTATTTACCAAGAACAAAATGATTGCTTGCTTCTATCAGGCATTTTCTCTCACTTTTTTTATTCAACCCAAGTCTCCATTCAATAGGATGATGCAACATACCCACAACCCACACACAAGTTGGGTACTCTATTCTTATTTAAACTTCCCAAAGAAACTCCCTCACAAACAAATACAAAGGTGTATTTAATTGATGCCCTGTGTGTTTCTTATTCCAAGCCAGTTGATAACAATAACCACAACAAATACTAAATACAGTGCTTCCATTAATGTTTGAAATCTATAATTTATATTTAATCTCATCTATATAGTAGCTGACCTTTTACTACAAAAATAATGTGTTTTTAAGCATTTAAGGGTACAAGAAATTGCATGACTTTCCAATAGAAAAATTTGAAATTAAAGTTAGTAAAATAGAATTTTACCAAAAAAATTATGTGAAATTTTATTTTTAATAAAATGTGAAATCTATGTTAATCTTAATCTTACATACAATGTGAAATTTATTTGAAAGCAGTTTAGAGAGATTTTCAATTTCAGGAGCTCTTCTTCACACTGTGTTAAGGAAGGACTTTACCCTCAGCAAATGATTTAAAAGCAAGTCAGGTCTATGCTGTGAAACGGAAGTTAAAAATCTTACTTTATTTAGGAAAACATTTTAAATTTTAATATCAAAGTTCTAAAAATATATTTAAAATGTGCCCATATGCACTACTTTCAAATTCAATACTTAAAATACAGCATAAACATTTTAGAGAAATCTTCCTCTTTCAAAATAAAATGCAATGATTTTTACCCTAACAAAGATATATTATCTCATCCATTATTAATTTTTTCAATAAATCCCTTGCTTTAAAAACTATATAAATCTATATTGTAATTTTGTCTTTAAACATGCTATTTCAGGAAACATAAATATAAACAAATATTTTGGTATTAGCTTTTTGATTAGGCATTTGTAACACTTACATCCAAGTGTGTAGTTAAATTACTCAGAATTATCAGGACATAAATTTCATGAGTGGAAATGTAAACATATAACACAAGGCACAAGTTCTGTGTAACTGATTATTAAGAGATAACAGATAGAATTCTCATACATCAAGACCCTAGCAAATGTTGCCACTAAAGAGGAGGAAGTATCAAAAGAGGAGGAAGAGAAAATTATTTTTATCTGTTATTAATCATCTGTATTTCTCCTTTAATTTCACTTAATTAGTCTTCTAATTATAAATGTTTTCCACAGTGACTCAATTCATACAAGTTTTCTGACACTGACGTTACAGATGGTAGAAAACTGTTGTCTGGTCTCAAAAGAACTATTTGACCACTACAATAAAAGAGCAGTAAACAAAACAACACTGCAGTCCTCTCCAGTTTATGTAGGCAGTCAGCCTTTTACTGCTGCAAACCTTGAAATGGATGTACGAGCTTTGCTGCAAGAAAAACACAGTTGTTTACAGCTTGGTGATGGCAGGTACCAACACTGGACTGGCTGCTGCAGCTCGTGTTTCTGGGGCTGACTAAGGTGCAAAAACATATTGTGGCTTGTTTTATGGAGAATATGTTTCATAAACCTCGAGGGAGCATTTTTCACAAATTCATCCACTCTGCAGCAGATTGGTGCTTTAATGTGGGATGCTGGATTTCAGTCAGATTTTCCAGTTAAAAAACAAAAAAAAAATCAGGAAAAAATTTAAATCTTACTTTGTTTCTGCTTACTTTTACTTGATGGGTTTTCAAATTTCCACATAGAAAGCCATTTTAACTGCTCATTCACTCATTTAAACAAAGTAAATATTTTATAACAGAGGGCTACTTCATTACAAAATTTACATCTACTTACAGTTGTATTTTAAACACCGCTATTTCTTTTTGATCTAGTGAAGTGACTGTATGCCAAGTTCTTTTATAAAATAAGAATAGTCTCAAGATGACACTCTTAGCTAATAGGCAGGGAATGCACCTCGTTTCCCATAAAATGGAATAATCAAGTCACCACAGCAAGAATGTTTATAGCCTTAAAAATAGAAGGCCAATAACCAAGCCACAGTGATATTTATCAGGAATTTAATGGAGGAAATAAAGTCACTTGCCTTCCTGCATCAAAGACATGGCTTCATGGTGAGAGAAAACAGTAGATCATCTTGCCTTTAAGCAACTGCACAGTCCAAGTTCAAAATTGACATCCAATATTATGTCAGCAACCTGCCATGTTGTAGGGGAATCCAAGCAAATAGTATAATTTGTCCCAAGATAACCCTTTTACTCTTTTATAGCCTCTGTTGCCACAGAGTGATAAAGCAGACATGGTTTTCACACAGGTGTGTTTGTCTTCATACTGAAATTGTTGGTTTTGAGCTTCAAAAATCAAATATAAGGATTTGTGGGAATAATAACAGTGAAGAGAATATAACTGTGGTTTCCTGGGGTTAGCAATTCTCTCACAATAAAACTACTTGTAAAAACAGGGTGCTGGGCTATCGCTCAGATACCAGTGTTAATTCTGAGGCCTCACACTCAGAATTCCAGAGGAGGGTCTAGGGATGTTGCATAACAAGCTCCAGATGTTTTCTCTAGTACACTCTGGTCATAAAACTTCTGTATCAATGATAAAGAGTGGTAGTTGTGCACAGCACTGAATACTGAAAGGCTTAGGAAATCTTCACCCAATTTTCAATCTCCTTCCTTTCTTGTGCCTCTTGCACTCCCCATCCTCATTGGCTACCTCTTTGTCCCATGAGTCTACAGACTATTTATTGTCATTACTATTTTTATTATTTTAAACAGGGAAGAGGACAAATGCAGTCCCCCTACTACCACAAATAATGCAGTCAAGTTTCTAGCATTTGGGGAAATCACAAGGGTCAGCACACCCAGAGTGCAATGGCTAAGCTTCACCCTGGGGACAATACCTTTGCAATCATGATATCTCCCCTGCCAGATATTACCAATTATTTTTAAACCAAAACTAACCTAATACAAATTTTCTTCCTTTTCCTCCATAATTACAAAAACCTCCCTATTCTTACCTTTCACAGTTGATTGTGCTCATATATGTTGCTGATGAGTGGCCTGGTCAGCAAGATGGCTAAGATATTGTGCTTGAGTTGAGCAGTTCAGATCATAAACCACATTATTACACACACAAAATTAAGGCCATGTTTACAATAAAAGCAGAATGCATTGCCTGCATTAAACACAGGCCCAGAGCATACTGCAGAGAACAGACCTGAGCAAAACTACAGTTGTCTGATTAGATGCAGAGTTGTAACCCCAGAACTCATGTACTTTAACATGAACCCTGGATGTTACAATCAGAACATGTAGTGTATAATGAGCAAAGCAGTTCTCCTTATATCTTATATCTAGTCAAAGCTGTGTTTTCAGCTACTAGCACTTCACCTACATCAGTAACACTGACACATGAGTGAAACTATTCAGATGAGAGCTGCAAAGCTCCATTTTCTTTTGAGAGATATCAAAGTATTTCATCGTTGAGTTTCACATTTCTGTTCTAACACTGTTGTAGTCTACCATAACTAAGACTGCCAAATCTTTAGACATAATTCTAAGAGTATAAGGCTACCATATCTAAATAAAGACTCAAAGAGAAAATACTGAAGGAAGACATGTGGTTGTATAACATTTTTATGTGAAGGAAATACTTTTTAAACCTAATTAGTTTAAAAGTTCATTCTTGAATGAACATATCTTCCACATCCCTGCCTTTTCCAAAAACTACTTGTTTATTTTAAATGATTTCATAATGTTAGTTCTGATCCCAAATTTCATTAAACAGTCCAACACCCCATTCTGCTTCTTTTCTTTATTTACTTCTCAACTTATTTTGAAGGTATCAATTTAAGATGGTATACATATTTTTTATAAAGAAGTACAATCTGTACACCATAGTTTACTGACAATTTGGCCTTTAAATGCTCAATATTGGAATTCTGTTTATTTTTAGTGTCATCCTCTGTTTTCTCAGACATCAAGTCCTTGTTCATCATTTTTCCTATACACCCACTTGAAATAAAATTTTACACTCTTTATTTCAAGTATTTAGCAGTATAATCCTTACTCTTCCTTCACTGAAAACACCTAAAGTAAGCTTATGATAACAGCAATATCTACATCTTATACTATAACATCCAATTTCTCTTTTGAATTATGGAAGTTTCTTTGACTCAAAAATGAATTTATATTATACAAAATAAGCATTTCATGTTTTGTTATTCATATATAGAGATGCTGTCTGGTAGAATTCTGTGTTTAAGCTCCAGGAATGCAGTCAAAGAGAGGAAGAAAGGAATATATGAGTAAGGCAGGTAAAGACCATGAAGGAGAAATCTACAGTGACACCTAAACCAAGGTGGTGGAAACTCTTGAACTCTAGACCTATAACTGTGGAGACTCCAGGAGAATGAACTACTTCCTCCATATGTGAGAGACATTTTTGAATCTTGGACTAGCTGAGGGCCTCATGGCAGTAGGATCAGGATACAAACCTGATACATGAGCTAGCTTGTTGTAGCCCATTTCTTAGTGTTTGATGCCATGCTCATCCTTAATACATGGGAGAGGAACATGGCCCTGCCATAGCAAATTGTGTCAGACTATGTTGAATCCACATGGGAGCCTTACCCTCGAGGAACAGTGGACTGGGGATGGGCTGGAAGAGAGGTGGGTTGTGTAGGGGGGTGAGAGGAGGTATGGAAGGGAGAATGGTGGTGGGAATGTAAATGAAATTTTAAAAATAAATAAAAAAGAAAGAGAAAACCTTAAAAAAGCACTGTTTAGGTTATTTCCTCATCATTTATTAATTTTGAATCAAATGTGAACTTTTTTTTCCAGACTTGGATAAAAATCCATTATTCACATAATTCTTTATTTAGTTAACATTCTGCATCCATTTTTAACACCTTTAAAATATATAGTTTTGCTCTCTTAATTGTAAATTCCTTTTGTGACCATTTTCATGTGAGCTCTCATGTCCAGTATGCTTTTATACTATTTAAATTTTTTCAGACTGAGACATGGATTACCCACTCTGTCTATTCCATTTCATGAGGTATTCTCTAAGTAAGGTGTGTTTAATAAATGCTCTGAATTCACTTGTCCTGTTTGACTTTTATAATCAGATAACAAAACACTTGAGGAATGATTTTCTATTAAAATGTATGACAAACATGTTTTTAATTATGTCCGGAGGACATAGACCTTTTAAACAAAATTCCTGATTACTGTTTTGAATCTTGATGTATAGCCTCAAAGAATACATTTAATGAGCTCTCTCTTATTTCTGTTTTTATTAACATAAAACTTTCACTACAGTAGCAGCTAATAATTAAGTGACATTTCTTTTGTTTTAATTTGAATATAAGATTAGTAGGTGACTGTAGAGAGATAGAAGTAGACATGGGGCTTCATTCATAAGAACTAACCTTTGAAGGTTTGCATTATGTAGGAACACATTTAGATCTATAAATTGGAAGGGCAAATGGATGGCCTAACTAAGTTCTGCCTAACTGAAAACTGCCAAGAATTAAATCCCTTTCACTTCCATGTAATCATGATACTTGGAAAGGAGCAGAGTAAATAAGAACTAAATATGAGAAAAATAAAAAGATGTAACCTTTTTTCCAATGTTGGTTAATAAATATCTTTCCACCTCACCTTAAAGCTCATCTGAGTTATTCCTACCCAGATCTAAAACATCGATTCTTTAGTGCTTAAGTATACTCTTCAGTCCTTAATTTACCCATCTGTTCCTTGTGTGTCAACTGATTTGTGGAATAAGTTGGATAATTTTCCTAGAGTGTGCTTTACATTGTTTGCCAGTCAGGAGGCCCTCAGGGAATAAAACTATTTTATTACCCGTGTTAATCATTGCTCCTACTGACCACCACAACCGAAGTATTCAGTCACTACCAGATGCCTTTTTGTGCTTGGGAGTACCCTTTATCAAGTCTTGGAAAGGTATTGGTATTAACATAACACAAGAACCATTTTGTGGACATTAAAACAACTGCTCTGGAGAACCCAGAACATTATTTGATCTTCACCCTAATCCTTCATGTAGTTGTGAAGGTGTAATTAGAGATAGTCTTTTAGTGCCATCTTAATTTGTTATTGTTTTTATAGAAATTTAAACACTGCCTTCATTTTCATATTTTCTGATAGTTTTTAAACACTATCACTCTCTCTTTCTCTCTTGCCTCATCTACAGAAAAAATAGTAAAAAATAAACAAATAAGCCTAGCTATTCCCTCTTTTGGTTTGATCTTTTAGGACACTGACCTTCTTGTCCTCATTCAATTCACAAAGAACATAAAGTCTCATGCAGCTACCACTCAGCTCTCTCTCTGGACAGTTTTGATCTGGTGCTTTTTTCTCTGGGTGGTTACATGGGATGATCAATCTTGACAACCTCTGGGTGGTTACATGGGATGATCAAATTTTAGCTCATGGATTATTCGGATAGATGTTATTTACCAAATGCATTTGTCATCACTGTATGTCATGTATAACAATTAAGGAATAAAGGAGTATATGCTGTTGAAGCATGATTTTTTTTCTTTGAAGCTCTGGTTAGACTTATACTCACTATGTAGTGCTTTCTAGCTATGTGCTAACAGCTTTCCTCTGCACCATCTTGGGCTGGGATTGTAGTTGTAAACACATTGCCTGTCTAGCAGGAATTATATCAATCACACTCTGGAGCTTTACTTTATGCTCAGATACACTAATTTGGCACAGTTGAGCAAATCAAGTGAATATATACAGTTGTCTTCAATTAGTGCCCAATGTGAAAGTCAGTGTACCTGGGTCATCAGTCCCAAGGTCTGTTACCCTCCATAAGTGAGAATATGCCTGCCAAGAGCATCTTTGTCCTTCTGAATCTTGTATGAGGAAGATAAAATAAGAAAACCAAACCACTCAATTATCTTTTATTACCACCTTTCCTAGAACTGTTTTGGTAAGTTGTCTTCTCAGAGTTTTTATAAACACTACTGAAAATATCTTAGTTTATTTGTTTTTTAAATATTATTAGGCCATAAATTAATTATGTGAAATTTATCTTGACTTATGAGTATCAGTATGTGGCTGCTCCTAAATTTCCTACCAGAATAATTATTCTCATCTATTCTTTAATCAGTCCTGTTTATATGTAAGAAATGTGTATTACAAATAAATCTTAGTAACATTGTCCTCAAAGTATTCCTGAAGAGTTGCAACTCAATGAAAGTCATTCTAAATTATTTTGCTTTATTATCCTCATATAGACAGAAAATATCAACATTACTTAAATGAAGCAAAATATGGATGAAGGGGAGCCAGTAGTTAGGATTAGTACAAATGGATCAGATTGCCATCTGATGAAGTCTTATTTTTGTGTGGTAGAGTACAAAAGTTATCAGCCTTTGTGTATGAATACATTCTTGCCCCTCCCAAACACATCCTATTGAATTTTCAAGGAAGTCTGAAATTAAGACACTTCAGGAATATTGTTGTTGAAATAAATCATAAGAAACATCTGGATAATGTACTTTTTCTTCAGGTTTATTTATTAAGGCATTTCATTCTCTCTGTTTTATTTTGGTTTTTAAAAACTATCTATTCTTTTTGTTTATTTCTCTAAATACTCAGCTCTCAAGGCTAAAGCTAGACTTTGGCTTTGTTTATACATAATGTGATGTGGTTTAAAGACTCAAACTAGAACTTAATGGATGTTTTTCACATCATAAAACCACTACACAGCTTGGCACAATTTAAAATGACTGGCAGAGTCCACTTAGCAGAGGCCAAGGAATGAAATACCAGGGCTGTTACAGGTCACTGCACTGGCAGAGGTGTATGGAAAACCCTGCCTGGCTCCAGTTTCTGCAATTACTTGCTTATGTTCATGAGCAATAAAATTGAACCAAATAAAAAAAGAAACCAT